AAGTCATGGATAATCTTCTCCATTGCCATTCTGGAGGATGTGATGGATCCATCAGGACGTCGGAGGGCAGTCATCTTGGTCTTGTAGTTGGCAAAGGACAGGCGGGCATTACGGATACTTTTCCTGGCTTCTGCCGCATCTACCAGTACTTCTGCTCTTCTCTCTTTTAGGTCTTCCTTGATCGCATCTCTGCACTGCTTTGCGAGCTCGGATGTTAGCTTGCAGTTGCCTGAGGCATGCGCCAAACCACGCTGGCGAATTAACTCAAGAGTTTTCGAAGATAGGCGATTTTTTCTGGCTATCTCTCTCTTGGCATTCCTCACACATTCATGGAGGTGCTGAACCAGTCGATCTTATTCCTCGTCAATGTTGTCAACAATGGCATCTTCCCATGTTGCCGCAATAGTACCAAAGAGTTCCCAGTTGGTGGTCATTCTGGGAGTTCTCTTTTTGAACTTTTTTTCAAAAAGAGAACAATTTAACATACACACAATAAAACAATTTTTGGTGCGTACAACCATACAGCAGGTAGGCATTTGCCTAGCATGAGGCTGAAAGGGGTTTATCCTTGAACACTGCCAAAAGCAACTTATGAAAACCACCAGGAATAACTGCTGAGCATCTCCAGGCACCAAAACAAAAGAAAACTAAACTTCTTCCTATATTCAAAAAACATGGCAATGATACAAAGGCAAAGATAAGCATGGTGTCAGATTAACTGAGCGGGGTCCAGAAAGTGTACCCGACCCTTTAGGAGTACAGTCAGGCTAGTTATACAGCCGGGGAAACAGGGGCCTTGAAACACATGGACTATTAGACATATCTGACAGATGAGGAAGAATGACAACAAAGTCAAGAAATCAAAGCACAGGATCTCTCCGTAATGAACAGCTCTGGGGAGGAGACTCCCCTACCCCATGCAACACCCCCACATCACATGTTCTAGGGATGAGAAGGGGACACTCAATGTCCAATGAGCAACTCAAAGATTTTGTGGACTGGAAGACTCCTGGGTTGGCCACATGCAAGGCAAGCATCCTACTTGCTCTACTATTGCTCTGGCTATTTCTAAATATATGGGAGAAAACGGGAAAAAACGGGAGAGCACTTACAAAGCTTTCAGGTTTAAGTCTCAGTCATACAGTGAAACACCCGTCCCTTCACCGTGCACATTTTCCACCACTAAAAAACCCAAGTATACCGCCATTCCACACCCTCCCCCTACCTGTGGGGCAGATAATTTCCACATTACTCTCGCTACTTTGATTACAGTCAATATTTTGACAAGAGACCCACCATTATTATTTGGGATTTTACCCCAGCACTCAGATCTGCTGAAAATGCAGCAGTAGACAATTCTTTTTCGATTGCTGGTTATAAATAACGTATGAATTTGAAATTCTGAAATTTTAACAATTAAATCTGGAGGGATTTCTGCCAAAACCAGCTGGTTTCCGAGATTTGTTCCTGAGTCTCTGGGATTATGGCCATTAAACAGCTTTATCACGAGTCAGACAGGTGGTTCTATGGAATGACTTAGGGTATTGTTGGGGAGGGGTGGAAAGGGCCGGCTCCACCCCATCCTGAGAGTTCCCACGTATCTCGTGAGTGTGGGCCCAAACCTGACTTTCCAATGGCGTTTGGAGGATGGAGGCCACCGAGCCGCCAACGGAGAGCAGGTGGAGGGACAGCACCGATTCCAAATGGGGTGGCCTGGGGACAGTAACCTACTGCAGGGTCCAGACGCATTTCTGCTAAAAGGCGCTGGATTTCAAGATTTGTCTCTGAATCTCTGGGATCATGGCCATTACGCACTTTGATCACGAGCCATAGAGGCCAATCGTGGGCACCAGATAACTCAGGGTCTTGTTGGGTTGGGGAGAAAAGGGCCGTCTCCTCCAACATTCCATTAGGCCCTGCATGTCTCCTCACTGAGGGCCCAAACCTAACCGTCCAGAAGCCATTAGTGATGGCAGACACTGAGCCGCCAGGCACGAAACCTATTCCGTGAAATACCCAGCTTTGGTAACCTACTGTGGGAACCAGACACATTTCTGCTGGAAACCGCTGGGTTCCGATATTTGTTTCTGAGTCTCAGGTATCATAGCCTTTAAGCAGTTTGATCAGGAACCAGAGAGATCTTGCCTCCAATTATATAGCTGAGCCAGAAATGGTTTGTTGGTGTGTCTCGCACATACCTAACTTTTGTCCATTTACTTTCTTGGAAGACTTTGCCCAAAGTTTTTGGAGTCTGGCAAAAGGCACAGCAGCAATTTTGGGGTATCTGGAAGTCTGACGGTGCCATCAAGCTGTTTATGGACTCACCTTACAGACACAGATTGATCTGCTGGTGGTACCATACCCCCGAGATGTAGAAATTCTATATATGGAAAAAAAACACCAGTGGTGGGGTTGGACACACTAAAGCAAGTAGGATGCTTGCCTTGCTGATCCAGGTCAAACATCCCCATTGCATAGGAACCCAGCAGCACCACAGAATAATTCCTGAGCTGCAGAACCAGAAGTAACCTTGAGCATCAAAGAATTCCTTCCAACTCCCCTGAAAAAAGAAGCTATTAAAATTAATCCAAAGAGGGGCTGAAGTGATAGCAGAGCGGGTAGGACATTTGACTTGCACGTGACCAACCAGATTCAAATTCCAGCAACAATATGGTCCCCTGAGCTTTACCAGGAGTAATTCCTGAGTGCATAAGCCAGGAGTAACGCCATGTGCAAAGCTGTGTGTGACCCAAAAAGAAAAAAAAATAATCCAAAGAGTAAATTTTCAGAGACAGATACCTCTCACTTGTCCAAATGCGCCCCAAAATCCCAGCACGTAAGCCAATGAAAATGACCAACTGCAAAAGTGTCCCTTTCCTTTGGGGGCTGCCCGTGAACATATCTGTAGTTTTGATAAGTGTTATGTCCAGTCCAAAGGCTCCAAACAGGGTCCTGCGCAGTCTCGAGTAGGGAGGAATGAGATGGCCAAGACCCCCACTCTCTGCAGGCTCCTCACACCAAGGCCTGAAGTCTATGTGCCCACCCTCCAGTGCCATCTTGGACCTGGATGCGATCGTGGCTGCAGGGGCCCTAAGGATAACGCACCCTCACCCATGGCACCTGCGGCACAGAACAACCCCCGATGCACCACTCAAAAGCTCCACATCCCCTAAAGCCTGGATATCCAGAACAAGTAAAAACAAACATGAAAGCGCCCTAAAAGCTGGCGTGACCTGCTGCTCAAGTTCTCAAACCAGGATTTTCAGGGCGCTCAAGCTTTGCAAATCCTAACACAGGAAAGACTGAAGAATGAAGGTTTACCTGTTTTTCCATTTTCAAAGTATTCAACGCAGCATCTTGGTTGATTCTGCCATAATTCTCGCTAACCAGCCCATGTGGGCCAAGCCAGAAGCATAGGAAACAATAAGAGAGTAGTGAGCCATGACAGCTCTGAGCAGGGGGGTGTTTCTGTACCTGACTATTCAGTCACCTTCCTCCTTATTTTCATCACCAGGACCCATTATTTACAAGTTAACACACAAGCAATTCCAAGCACAAGAATACTGGCATAGGAGCAGCCAGGGTGAAAATCAGCAGGTACCTTTCACTGACATGAGGACAAGCCTGTCCCAAGCAGGCAGGCTTACTTCCATCTTAACTGCACTTTTTGTTAACACCCTTGACCATCGTGTCCAAAGGAAACTTGCTTAAATGACTTGTCCTGTTCTGTCATTAGAGACTGTTATTAAGGGATCAAACCATCCAGTATGAATTTTTGTTTATTAAGGTGTGAGGGATACATTAAGTATTGAGGCCATACAGAGGCCTTCCCGCATTCCTTACATATACAGTTTCTCTCCAGTGTGAATTTTCCTATGTACACTAATATTTGAGGCTGTAGCAAAGGCCTTCCCACATTCCTTACATATATATGGTTTCTTTTTTTTTAACGTTTATTTTCTTTTTTTTTAATAGTTTATTTTTTATTGAATCACTGTGGGAAAAGTTACAGAGCTTTCGGGTTTAGGTCTCAGTCATGTAAGTATCAAACACATTTCCCTTTACCAATACTTATTTTTAACCGTGAACCCCGATAGAACTCCACCTCCCACCCCTCCCAATTCCTGTGGGGCAGATGAGTTCTAGTTAATACTCTATCTACTTTGACTAGATACATTGTTTCAATAGAAGATGCACAATTATTGTTTAGAGTTTACGACCCCACCCCAATCAGATATGCTGAAACAGTGTTGTGAAATGATTTGCTTTCTACAGCTTGGTTTAAGAATAAAATGATGTTGCGGTTTTGGATTTCTGCTGTTTCACTTATTAACCCTGGAAGTATTTCTATTAAAAGTTAGATAGTTAAGAGATTGGTTTCTGTGCTCTGGAGTCGTGGCCGTGTCGGAGAGCCGCTCGTGGGGGACAGCTGGTGACCTAGGTCAGGCGTGAAGGACGGCCCAGAACACCCCCCTTCCCATGAGGCCCGTGCTGCCCCCCGCCCCCGGCTCAAACCTGCTGTCCACAAGGCTCCCATGCGGCCGCCATCTTTCTTTCCAGAGAGGAGCAGGGAGTGGGACAACACCCTTTCCCCTCCGGGCAGGCTTGATGGCACGGTTTAACACATAGTCCATTTGCTTTTCTGCTCCAAGCGGGTGGTTCTCTGTGCTAAGTCCTTGTGCCTCCGGGGCCGTGGCCGTGCCGGAGAGCTGCTCGTGGGGGGCAGCTGGTGACCTCGGTCGGGCGTGAAGGACGGCCCAGAACGCCCCCCTTCCCATGAGGCCCCTGCTGCCCCCTGCCCCCGGCTCAAACCTGCTGTCCACAAGGCTCCCGTGCGGCCGCCATCTCCATATATATGGTTTCTATCCACTGTGAATTCTCCTATGTACAGTCAAGTGTGAGGATGAAGTTAAGGCCTTTCCACACTCCAGACATATCTAATATTTCTCTCCATTATGAATTCTTATGTGTAGAGTAAGGGAAGAGAACCATGTGAATGCCTTCCCACATGTCTGACACTGATGAGGTTTCTCTCTGAGATGAATTTTCATATGTGCAGTAAGTTTTGAGGCTCGAGCAAAGGCCTTTCCACATTCCTTACATATATACGGTTTCTCTCCAGTGTGAATTCTCCTATGTACACTAAGACTTGAGTCTACAACAAAGGTCTTCCCACATTCCTTACATACATACGGTTTCTCTCCAGTGTGAATTCTTCTATGTACAGTAAGTTTTGAGGCTGTAGCAAAGGCCTTCCCACATTCCTTACATATATAGGGTTTCTCTCCAGTGTGAATTTTCCTATGTACACTAAGGCTTGAGGCTTCAGCAAAGGACTTCCCACATTCCTTACATATATACGGTTTCTCTCCATTGTGAATTCTCCTATGCACAGTAAGTTTTGAGGCTCTAGCAAAGGCCTTCCCACATTCCTTACATATATACGGTTTCTCTCCAGTGTGAATTTTCCTATGTACACTAAGGCTTGAGGCTTCAGCAAAGGACTTCCCACATTCCTCACATATATACGGTTTCTCTCCAGTGTGAATTCTCCTATGCACAGTAAGTTTTGAGGCTCTAGCAAAGGCCTTCCCACATTCCTTACATATATACGGTTTTTCTCCAGTGTGAATTTTCCTATGTACGCTAAGGCTTGAGGCTTCAGCAAAGGACTTCCCACATTCCTCACATATATACGGTTTCTCTCCAGTGTGAATTCTCCTATGTACAGTAAGTTTTGAGGTTGTAGCAAAGGCTTTCCCACATTCCTCACATATATACGGTTTCTCTCCAGTGTGAATTTTCCTATGTTCACTAAGAGTTGAGGCTAGAGCAAAGGCCTTCCCACATTCCTTACATATATACGGTTTCTCTCCAGTGTGAATTCTCCTATGTATACTGAGGCCTATGGATTTAGTAAAGGCCTTTCCAGTCCTTACATATATATGGTTTCTCTCCCGTGTGAATTTTCCTGTGGTCACTAAGTGTTGAGGCTAGAGCAAAGGCCTTCCCACATTCCTTACATATAAACAGTTTCTCTCCAGTGTGAATTCTCCTATGTACACTAAGATTTGAGACTACAGCAAAGGACTTCCCACATTCCTTACATATATACAGTTTCTCTCCAGTGTGAATTCTCCTATGTACACTAAGACTTGAGGCTGCACCAAAGGCCTTCCCACATTCCTTACGTATATATGGTTTCTCTCCAATGTGAATTCTCCTATGTACAGTAAAGTTTGAAGGTCTAGCAAAGGCCTTTCCACATTCCTTACATATATATGTTTTCTCCCCAGTGTGAATTTTCCTATGTTCACTAAGAGTTGAGGCTACAGCAAAGGCCTTCCCACATTCCTTACAAATATACGGTTTGTCTCCAGTTTGAATTCTCCTATGTATACTGAGGCCGGAGGATTGAGTAAAGGCCTTTCCACATTCCTTACACATATATGGTTTCTCTCCAGTGTGGATACTTCTATATATACTGAGGCCTGAGGATACAGTAAAGGCATTACCATACTCCTGACATATATAAGGTTTCTCTCCACTATAGGTTTTCAGAGGTCTATTAAGACTAGAGCTCTGAATAAAGGCCTTCCCACATGTCTGACATTCATGAGGATTCTCTCCTGTATGAATTCCCCTATGCATAATAAGATGTGATGATTGATCGAAGGCCTTCCCACATGCTTCACATGCAAAAGGTTTCGCTCCTGAATTTATATTCATAAAGTCATGATGGAGTAACCCTTGACTCACACTCTGTTCTTGGGGCTGACTTTTCTGGGGATTCTCTCCACTGTGGTTTTCTAAGGGAACACCACAGTGCTGAGAAAATGGGGAGGCTCCTTGCACCTATATGGGTTCTGCTCATGGTGACTGTGGTTGAGGGTATGTTGCTGTGAGGGATTCACTATAAACAGTGCTTCTCTCCCTAGTAGGTGCCCCACCTGGGGATTTTGTGTCTGTGAACTGAGAATAATACACTCCAAGGAACTTTTTCCAGGAGAGGGTTTCTTCAGAGTGAGGTAGCTCTCGCCATTCTGATCACCCTCAGAAGACATCCCACCTGTCTCGTCGTCCTCATGGGGCTGAGGGCAGGATTGATCACTCGAGATATTATCATACAGTTCAGGATCAGAGACATTCCACTCGGGGTGGCAGCTTTCCTGTAGACATCAGAGGATTCTAATTATTGACTTATTCACTGAGTCTTCCTGTCAAAAAAAACTGAGCCCTTCAGATGTGGTTTCACACATATGCACCGCACAAATGCAATTACTGACATATGAATTGTCTTACTATTGAATAACTTCATGTTACTGTAAGTTGGACACACAAAATTGATGGAGAGAGAGTCAGTAAATTCTGTGACTTCCTCCCCTCTAAATTAATGAAGGAATACTGGAAACAATTCCTTCTATAGAAAACGGATGCATCCATTTCAAGAGAAAATGAAATACATCCACATGTGGGTTTGGTTAAAGCTCAGTGTGGAAGCTGTGATGCAGGGGTGAAGACAACGCTGCATCATCCCACAGCTGAGACAGACCACTTGGCCATTGCAAAGCTCTCACCTCAAGTGATGCCTTTCAGGATCAATGAAGCTTTTTTTCCTTTGATTTGTATTTTCTATTTATTGGGGGTTGGGTGGGTGGAGGGGCACACCATGCAGTGTCTAGGATCAGTTCTGTCAGTCTATGCTGTCTATAAGGTGTGCTGGGTAAGGAATATCCGTCCATGTGCAAAGCAATTATATTTCTTACTGCACCATCTCTAAGGTGCAGAAATTAGCTTTCTAAACAAATACCACTGACAAGCGAATCAAAACTCACAGTATTTTTAAACATGGTTGATTTCAGCACCTAGCAAAGCTAAGAGTTCTCTACTCCACGCATCAGGCTTTGGAATTTCTCCCTGCCATTCCCAGCCTTCCACCTTAACAATCACATACTTGGTCCACTCCTGCTAGCATAATATTTATTCTGAATTAGCGAATCTTACCAACTCACTTGTACTTGCAGACCCCATTCCCAAATCAAAGTGCTGTAATGCCAAATTCTGAACCCTTGGTTTCAGTTCTGAAACTGAACAAAACATGGAATTCAAGCACTTGTCAAAAAATGTAGCAAAATGATGTCATGTAGTTAAGAGTACATCTCTGTGGTTCTCAAAATCCAAAGAGTCCGACACTAAAGAAAAGATTCGGATAGTGGAAAACTGTGAGGATCTTAGTAATTCTACACTAGGTTTTGTTTTTGTTTTTGAGCAGACCTGGTAATGTTCGGGGAACCAGGTTATTGAACAGGTCACATTCAGGCGCTGCAAGGCACTCCCTGCTGTACTATCATTCAGATCCAAACTAGCTCTGTTATGGTCTTACTTATTCAAAAGCCATGGAAGCAAATTACAGGATCATTCTGTGACTGACAGTCCAGGGGAATGAAGAGTAGGGTGAGTGCGGCACAGACACAAGAATCCAGAAGACCAAGGACCCAGTCTCAGCAGTGTGTTTCCTACATGCTCAGGGCACCCATTCACTGCACAGGGCCTGAGCCAGGAAGGGTCCTCAGACACTCACCCGCACACACGCCTCTCCTCCCCAACCTCAGGGCTCCTCCTTCCAGCCAGAAGATCACCGCAGGCTTCATCCCGGAGTGCCCTGCCCGACAGAGACAGAGGCATGGATAAGTGACAGGGAAAAGGTGAAAGGTAAATCCCCATGTTTTCCGGATATAACTGGGCGAATATCTGAAAGGCATGCATAGAATGTCCATTTCCAACATGCCACATATTTCTAGTTATTCGAGAGGCAAGACACAAGAAAATACCACAAAAACTCTAGACCTGGCCTTGTGTATGGCCGACAGGTGTTTGATCAACACAGTGTATTGTTGGTTTTTTTCTTGTTTGGGGTCTCACGTGGCAATGCTCAGGTGTGACTCCTGACTCTGTATTCAGAAATCAACGCTGCTGGTGCTCGGGGATGACATGGGATGCCGGGGATTTAACCGACGTGTGCTGCTTGCAAGAAAATCACTTTCCTCCCTGTACTGTCTCTCTAGGCCCAGCAGCACATGGAGATTCCTGAGCCCCTCATGACCTCATCACAGATTTCAGTAAAACTAAGTGCATAATAAATCTGGAAATGGCCAAGGGTGGCAAGAGACCCTTATTTTTTTAAGCTAAAACATGTATCCAGACGGGGGTATGGTGCCGCCAGTAGATCATTTTGTACCTGTGAGGCGAGTGCATCAGCAGCCTGATGGCGCATTCAGACTTCCAGATACCCCAAAATTGCTGCTGTGCCTTTGGCCAAACCCAAAAAACTTGGGGCAAAGTTTACCAAGAAAGTAAACGGCCAAAAGTTAGGTATGTGGGAAACACACCCACAAACCAACTCCGGTTCAGCTATATAATTGGAGGCAAGGCCTCTTTGTTTTCTGATTCAACTGATTAATGTCCATAATCCCAGAGACTCAGAAACGAATCTCAGAACCAAGCGGCATTAGGTAGAAACGTGTCTGGTCCATGCAGTAGGCTCCTGGTGCTGGGCCAAGCCAGGTGGTAACAGGTTTCGTGCCTTGGCCTGTTCCCCTTGTCGGCCCAGTGGCCACCATCCTTCAGAGGCCACTGGATAGTCAGATTTGGGCCCCCACTGACGAGGCACACAGGGACTCACGGGATGGGGGTAGAGCCGGGCTTGTTCTCCCCACCCCAACGAGACCCCAAGTCATCACCCACAAATGGCCTCTCTGGCTCCTGATCAAGCTGCTTAACGGCCATGATCCAAGAGACTCAGAAACAAATCTCAAAACCCAGTGGCTTTTGGTAGAAATGCGTCCAGACCCCACAATACGTTACTGTCGCCGGGTCATCTCAGGGAAGAAAGGGAGTTGTCCCTCCACCTGCTCTCTCTTGGCGGCTTGGTGGCCATCATCCTCCAGAGGCCACTGGACAGTCAGGCTTGGGCCCGCAGTGACGAAACTTGTTGGGCCTCACAGAATGAGGAGGCAGCCGGGCCTGTCCTCCCCACTCCAACGAGATCAAGTCATCGCCCACAAACGGCCTCTCTGGCTCCTGATCAAGCTGCTTAACGGACTTGATCCCAGAGACTCAGAAACAAATCTTGAAACCCAGCGGCTTTTGGTAGAAATGTGTCCGGACCCCGAAGTAGGTTACTGTCGCTGGGCCACCCCTGGGGGGAAGGGTGCTGTCCCTCCAACTGTTTCCTTCTGGTGGCTCAGTGGCCGTCATCCTCCAGAGGCCACTGGACAATCAGGCTTGGGCCCACAGTGACAAAACTTGTTGGGCCTCACGGGATGGGGTGGAGCCGGGCCTGTCCTCCCCATCCCCACAAGTCCCCAAGTCATTGCCCACAAACGGCCTCTCTGGCTTCTCAACAAGCTGCTCAACGGCCATGATCCCAGAGACTCAGGAGTAGATTTCGAAACTCAGTGGCTTTTGGCAGAACTCCCTCCAGATTTAAGTGTTAAAATTTCATAATTTCAAAACCACATGGCCCTACTGCAGCCACGTGACATCATATGTTATTCATAACCAGCAATAGAACACAAATTGTCTATTGTTGCCCTTTCAGCAGATCTGAGTGTTGGGGTAAAATCTCAAATAATAATAGTGTGTCTGGTGTCGAAATATTGAATGTGATCAAAGTAGAGAGAGAGTAATGTGGAAATCATCTGACCCACAGGTAGGGGGAGGGTGTGTGATAGGGGTATACTGGGGTTTTTGGTGGTGGAGAATGGGCACTGGTGAAGGTAGAGGTGTTTAATTTTATGTCCAAGACTTAGACCATAAATGCTCTCACGGTGATTCAATAAATAAAATTATAAACAATGAAAAAAAAAGTAAGGTGGAGTTCATGCACAATTCAATCAGCTAATCAGTGGCTGAATAAATAGCAGTACTCCCCCAAAAAATGTATCCAGAAAGAGAGCAGAGCAGGAGTTTCTCATGGCCAATCCAGTTGCGATACCCGATATCATCTAGGGTCCCTCATGCCAGCCAGGAGTGATCCCTGAGTGCAGAGTCCAGGAGCAAACCCTAAGTCCTGATGAAATCTCACAAGAACCATTAGAAGTAAATCCAAGCACTGAAATAGGGCAGCATCTAATGAGTTGAGAGACGAGATATCAAATCCACTGTGGTGGGAGAGAGGTAGT